CCAGGGAAAATGGTTGCTTATGGCAAAGAATGGTCTTAACCTTGAAAACAGGGTCATCATAATTTGAGGCATAAAATGCATTTCTTTGACATTAGTTTTTAATGGAGAAATATCATAAGTTCATAATTAATAATAATAAAAAAAAACTGACACATGAAAGTTTGTTTTAAAAATAAATTTTAACACTTTAAACCAAGGTAATTTGCAAAAAGTCAAAGTTCAAATACAAGATTATTTTTGCCCTGTTTTATTTTCACCCTTTCCCATTATCAAACAATTTTACCTTGTTAAATTCACCCAGGTGTAGATGTATTAAAAAGGAGAATAGTGTAGTCTTTGAATTCACCCCAATTTAAATTCGCCTACTGCATGTGCATCCGATAAGGGCACACAAGCTTAAATTGAAAAAGTCATGGTAAAAGGAACTGCACATCTTAGACTATAAAAAGTAAATAAAACCAATAGAAGCTTAATTTTGATACAATATAGTAGTTAGTTTTGAGTGGGGAGTGCATTTCGGCCTTGACTTGATTCTGGCCTACTACTGTAAGTCTACTGTCAGGTTGAATATGTCCAGATAGCCAGCTTCACAAAAAACAGAAATGACCTGGAGTAAACAACTGTGATTTCAACTTATTAATTTTTCTCTTCACAGGATGTAATGGTGTTGGATCTAACCATGTTGGATGAAGAAAGCAGTGTTTTTTGGACAGCAAGGTACATGTTAATGTCTATCATATCTCACCAGCAGAATTAAGAATTGAATAAACATTGCCGTGTACAATACTTAGAACAGTAGACCTTGGATTTTTTGGTATTTTAAAAGATGTATATTTTTTTCAGTTCTTTGGTGAAAATTGAAAGGAATAAAGACATTTCAAAAAGTTTGTGATCTATTTACATTTGGATTTCTTTAGAAACAATTCTTACCATTATTTAAAACAAAAGTTTATTAAATTGTTGTATGTAACATGTTCTTAAAATATTTAGCACTCATTTGGCATAAGTATACAATAACTATCAGTTTTACATATTTCTTCAATGTTTTTTTTTTGTATAACAATTAACAACGTACTTTCATCTTTAAAAATATGCCCTTCAATCCTCTAGCTTTGCAATACTTTTTTATAAACAGAATGTATCATTATCTATTTGATGTTTTCATTATGCTGAATAATTTTATTACAGTGTTTGATTTTGACTACCGATACGATGGAATCATGTCAATAGAATATGCAGATCAGAAAGGGAAAATATATCTTCAAATTTGTAAAGTAAGGGATTTTCAAAATGCATAAAATTTCATTCATTTTGTAAACTGTGTTAAGTGCCATAATGATTTTAACTTATCGGTTCTTTTTGTCAGATAAATATTTTAATAGAATGCCTTAAAAGTACAGGAAAATATCCATATCACTGATAAATTATAATACCATGTTAATCATGATATTGCCGTTATGATACTATACCTATGTTTTGATGTTTTAAATTACCTGTTTGTTTAGATGGACACAGGAGAAATGTTTCTGACCAATCTGACTGTAAGAATTGCCTTAAAGATGATTAATGAAAGATTTGGAACAAACTATAAATCAACTGACAAGTGATCTGTGATAGATTCGGAACAAACTATAAATCAACTGACAAATGATCCATGATAGATTGGAACAAACTATAAATTGTCTGACAAATGATCCATGATAGATTGGAACAAATCATAATTCATCTCACAAATGATCAGTGATAGATGATTCGGAACAAAGTGTAAATCAACTGACAAATGAGCTGTGATAGATTGGAACAAATATAAGTCCACTGATATTTGTACTTATTTATTCTGTTATTTTTTTTTTTTTATTTTACCATTAAATCTGTTTTTAAAATTGTTGTTTTGTGGTTTTCTCAACTTTAGAAATAATATATATAGCAAATTGTATTCTGGATATAGGTGCAAACCATGCAGTTCTAATTTTTATCAAGTCTTTGATCTCACTGGAGATGTCAGTTTCTGAGAGAACAAATTGTTAACAGTCAGTATTAATCTGACCATTATAACTGATTATTACTTTTTTATTTCTATCATGCTCAAAAAAGTGTGTTTTCATAAGATTAAATTAAATTAAAGACTGTCTGCAATCAGCACATTTCTATGGAATTGTATTGTTCCCAGTTGAAAATATGTTTTGCTATGTCAATGCATAGGAGATACCAAGTTGTATGAACAGGATCATTTTAATTATGAGATACTAGTAATACAAGCATCTTCTAGTATATGAGATACCAGTCAATAAAATAATAAGTCACATTACAAGATACAACTGAGATATATACTAAGTCATAAAACAAGTTTATAAGTAGAAATACGTACATGTAATTTGTTGTAATACCGGTACCTGCACCAACAAACTAAGTTGTAAGAATGAGATTATATTTGTAATAAGTGATATGTACGAAAAAAGCTTCAATTATGTCAAATGTGGTTCATATGAGTTATTTCATGTGTGTGACTTAATTTCTTTTAATTACAACATATCTCATAACTTATGACATAGCAAAAAATATATTTTCCACAGGCAGCAATATCCTAATTCTCTTCATTTCTACCCGTGACATGTTGTGAATATTCAACGAAAGTATAACTAAATGTGTTGCACTTATGTTTTTAGGTCACCTGAGTCACTCAGGTGACCTATTGCTATCTGTTTTTGTCCGTCGTACGTCGTTCGTCGTCAATCGGTCGTAAACTTTTGAACATTTTCAGCTTCTTCTCTGCAACCACTGAACCAATTTCAACCAAATTTGGCACAAAGCATCTATGGGTGAAGGGGAACAAAAATTGTGAATTTCATGATTCCTGCCCCCCTGGGGCCTGAGGGGTGGGGCCAAAACCACTAAAATTAATGCAATCTTTAAAAATCTTCTTCTTTACTCCTGGACATCAAGCAGTCAAACTGTTTGCATGATTGTAATCAGCATTGAGTCCTTTACCAAAATTGTGAAATTCATGGCCCTGGGATCAGGGGTACTTGTGCTAGGGCGGGGCTAAAAAAGTATATAGTGAAAATGCATTATTTCTTTAAAAATCTTCTTCTCTGCTCCTGGGTATTAAATAAACTAACTAAGTACATAGTTATGATGAGCAAGAGTGCCTCTACCAAATTTGTGAATTTTATGGCCCCAGGGTCAGGGGTTCTGGGGTAAGGGCGGGGCTCTATTGATTATATAGTGAAAATACATGAATTCTTTGAAAATCTTCTTCTCTGCTCCTGGGTATCAAATAAACTAACTAAGTACATAGTTATGATGAGCAAGAGTGCCTCTACTAAAATTGTGAATTTTGTGTCCCCAGGGTCAGGGGTTCTGGGGTAAGGGCTGGGCTCTATTGATTATATAGTGAAAATATATGAATTCTTTGAAAATCTTCTTCTCTGCTCCTGGGTATTAAATAAACTAACTAAGTACATAGTTATGATGAGCAAGAGTGCCTCTACCAAAATTGTGAATTTTATGGCCCCAGGGTCAGGGATTCTGGTGTTGGGGGAGTGTATTGATTATGCATGTATAGTGAAAAAACATTAAATCTTTGAATATTTTCTTCTTTGCTCCTAGACTTTAAGCAGATGAAATACCTATATAGTTATGAGCAAGGGACCAAATCTTCAAGAATTGTAAATTTCAAGACCCCAGGGTCAGTTGTACCATAGAGGGGGGGGGGTGTACTTATATACTAAAAATGAATGAATTGTTTGAAATGTGCTCCTTGGTATTTATCAAATATTTTTGAAAAGCAAGGATGCCTTTCCAAAAATTGTGCAATGTGTGGATCTAGGCCTAAGAGTAAAGGGTTCATGTGTGGTAGCGGCACAACTGATTATTGCTGAATATTACTGATTTGTTGAAATGCATTTTTTGTTCCCCTACCATGCCTATGGGTATTAAGCAACCAAACTAAGGAACTGCTAAGTGTATAGTTATGATGACCAAATTGTAAATGCTATAGCATCTGGCTTAAAACATGGATCAAATTCAATCACTGGAAAGTTGTTGAATAATGCTCAGGTGACCTATAAGGCCCATGGGCCTCTTGTGTTAAATCAATTAAAGCTCAGACATCTGTTGATGGCATTAATAAAGATAAAAGTTTGTCACATGTTTCTTTTATTCATGTAATTTAAACATAAGCATGTAATACAACTTTAACTTTGGTTGAGACAGAAAATATAACAATACAAGCCACATGTATGTAAACAAACCCATCATATACATGACAATATAGTATCATAGATAGCTTGATGTCTCATACAGATTGTTGTAGAAGTTTTTAAAGTTCTTGATGGTCAGCTACAATGCAGTAAGCAACATATTTCCATGAATATTAATAAATGATTTTGGAGAATCACAGCTCAAAATTGCATCTCAAGAGACAAGAGATCAGAGAGGAATTAATTACTAACATTGTAAAGTTGTTATACATTGTTACAAGTAATGGCGTACAAACAGTACATGTGCAGCTGATATTGGAATACTTGACCTACGTCAAAAAGTCGATGAAGACTAAGCCTGGTCTCAGCATTAATTTGTTTAATATGAAGACTTTCTCACTAGATAATTCTGAATCTTTTCAAAGTGCAGCTTTCTTACTGAGAGAGATTTTAAAGAATTTATTTTCACCCAAATACGCATCTATTACGCATCTATTAGAAACTAGTCTTGTGAATAAGAAGTAAGACCCTCAATACTATTTTATATGTATGTGAAATACTGTATCAGTGGAATCTTTAATGAGACACAAATTTAATGTTTATTTAAAAAAAAAAAAAAGTCATACATTTTAGTGAGAAGTAACTTTAGAAATTTTGTGATGCCTTGAAAAATAACAGTTACTGTAACCTCATGTGTGGGAAGAAATTGTTAACAATGATTTAAGCAATCTCAATATACCCTTGTTTAAAATGCCAAAATTGAATCCTTGTTGAAACTTTCGTAGATAAAATAATTTGCTGGGTGGTTTACTTGGTCAAAGGCACAACGAAAACACCTGCATATTATTATTAAAGATAAAGCACATAAACAAACTATGATAAAGATAGTACCATCATATATGTGTATTAAATTATAAAGTAACCTTTTCTATTCATTAATGAAACCAAAAATACAGAGAAGTAATGAATGCACTCTATTCACATAATTTTAAGGATTTATAAAAACAAGAATGACATTTATAATGTTTCTTTAATTCAAGACACATTGCTGCAGTTCACAGGCAAACATTTATTATGTTGATTTCATCAGTTTCACACAAAAAACCATGTCAACAATTGCTTCTTCATGTGAAATTCACCTAGAAAACTCTCTTTTATTACATATTTTTTAAAAACTTTTTTTCCTAAGAAACTAAAGAGTTGAATTCTTGTGAGGTACTAGAAAAAGTGTACATAATAGCAAAAATTGTACAAATATTACAAAATTAAACAGTTTTATATAAAACCTTTTTTATGTACAATCAAATACAAATACATGTAATAAGAAAATAGTTCATGTTTTCTTACACCTGTGTTATTATAACCCATCCAATGTTTTATAAACATAGATTTCAGTCAATCACAACGTAATCTCTCATACCTCGCCTGACAATTATTATGGCACATCATTCCAATTATGTATATATTTAACTTTTTTATTCTATTATCTCTATAAAAATCTTCATGTCTTTAAGTTGTGAAAAGAGAGAAGCACGTTTCCGACGTAATAGTCATGGACGTAGGCTAGGATGGCAATCGGCTGTCCCAGAATTAACGACAACCAGACGATCATGTTTCCTACCTGATGACGCCCTTTACAGAACTTTGCTGTCAGCATTGCTAGTGGTACCTGAAAGGTTTGAAAAATATTCAATATTTATGAAATTCATTTTCATAACAAATACATGCAAAGTTAAGGTCTAATCTATGAAATCCTTAGTAGGTGCGTATGCCCTTACCTGTCCAAGCATGGCAGTAAAAGCCCAGACCCGGAACATTCTCAGAGGAACACTAAGTAAATACTGTAAAGGAAAAAAAGGCTCAATGATCAACAATGCTTCAGAAAATGATAAAAATTACTATCGCTACAGTACACAAATGGTTCAGAATTATGGTACATGTCTTTGTACATAGTTAGGCTGATTGAAGAACTCACCTCATGGAAAAAAGCTGAGGTAGCAAACACTGCCACAGAAGCCACTTGTTTTGATACGCCTCGTCGAAGAAGGGGTTTGTATAAATGTCTGAAAAAAAGAGGAAGGCTGTATAGCTAGCATAGACTATACATGTATGAAATGTGAATTAAAGTTTCATTTTTATCTATAGAAATATCATATATGGAAAGTTATTAATGTTTTGCTAATTACCTGAGTGCCCATCTGTGGACAGGAATATTCCAGTTTTGCCAGAATTCAGAGACTGAATCTGAGTTCCTGCCAAAGAAATCAGTGAGTGAAGACTCCATAGTAAGGTCACATTTTAACAAATTACAATCAAGAATGCCACTCAACAGAGAATGAAGACTTTAAAGTAATGTCAAAATATCAAAATAAGTTACAAAAGAAAGCCCTTTTTGAGGGAGTGAAGAGTGTAAAACAAGAGGCCCCTGGGCCTTATAGGTCACCTGAGCATTATTCAACAACTTTCCAGTGACTGAATTTGATCCATGTTTTAAGCCAGATGCTATAGCATTTACGATCTGGTCATCATAACTATACACTTAGCAGTTCCTTAGTTTGGTTACTTAATACCCATTATGGCATAGGCAGGATAGGGGGCAAAATGCATTTCAACAACCCCTGATGTCATCGAACCCCTGACCCTGACTTAGCAGTTACTTTATACCCATAGGCAGGGTAGGAGAACAAAAAATGCATTTCAACTGATCAGTAATATTCAGCAATAATCAGTAGTGCCGCTACCACACATGAACCCTTGACTCTTAGGCCTAGATCCACACATTGCACTATTTTTGGAAAGGCATACTTGCTTTTCAAAAATATTTGATTAATACCAAGGAGCACATTTCAAACAATTCATTCATTTTCAGTACACAAGTACAGCCCCCCCCCCCCCCACTATGGTACAACTGACCCTGGGGCCTTGAAATTTACAATTCTTGAAGATTAGGGATTGCTCATAACTATATAGGTAATTCATCTGCTTAAAACCTAGGAGCAAAGATGAAAATATTCAAAGATTTAATGTTTTTTCACTTTACATGTATAATCAATACAGCCCCGCCCTAACACTAGAATCCCTGACCCTGGGGCCATAAAATTCAAAATTTTGGCAGAGGCACTCTTGCTCATCATAACTATGTACTTAGTTAGTTTATTTAATACCCAGGAGTAAAGAAGAAGATTTTCAAAGAATTCATGTATTTCCTCTATATAATCAATAGAGCCCCACCCTGACACCAGAACCCCTGACCCTGGGGCCATAAAATTCACAATTTTGGTAGAGGCACTCTTGCTCATCATAACTATGTACTTAGTTAAATTATATAAAATCTAGGAGCAGAGAAGAAGATTTTCAAAGAATTCATGTATTTTCACTACATAATCAATAGAGCCCCGCCCTAACACCAGAACCCCTGACCCTGGGGCCATGAAATTCACAATTTTGGTAGAGGCACTCTTGCTCATCATAACTATATACTTAGTTAGTTTATTTAATACCCAGGAGTAAAGAAGAAGATTTTCAAAGAAATAATGCATTTTCACCATATACTTATTTAGCCCCGCCCTAGTACAAGAACCCCTGACCCCAGGGCCATGAATTTCACAATTTTGGTAAAGGACTCAATGCTGATTACAATCATGCAAACAGTTTGACTGCTTGATGTCCAGGAGTAAAGAAGAAGATTTTTGAAGATTGCATTAATTTTAGTGGTTTTGGCCCCACCCCCCAGGCCCCAGGGGGTCAGGGATCATGAAATTCACAATTTTTGTTCCCCTTCACCCATAGATGCTTTGTGCCAAATTTGGTTGAAATTGGTTCAGTGGTTGCAGAGAAGAAGCTGAAAATGTTCAAAAGTTTACGACCGATTGACGACGAACGACGAACGACGTACGACGAACGACGGACGACGACGGACAAAAACAGATAGCAATAGGTCACCTGAGTTTACTCAGGTGACCTAATAAAATCAGACAAAGTCCAGTACGGCTCTCACCACCAGTCTTTGTAGAATTCTCTGTCTCCAAACCTCAGCAGTTCTGCTGTAACATTTAGGCAAGAATGGAAGAACCAATAGAAAAAGATCAGCCATATTAGGTGGTTGGGAATCTGGAACACAGAGTTATTTCATTATAGATGGAAAACTGACCTTGATAATCAATTAAAACATGTGTATTTAAAAAAAGTGTTAAAAAACTTTTTTAGAATTCCAACCTTTGGATTGTTATCAAATTCAGCTAGAAAATCCAAATTCAGGATAGACATATGCATGTAATTTTCAAAACAACAGTCTGTGTCTAGCAGCTAAACATCATTTGTAAAAGTGTGGTGACTTACAGATAATTTCAGCAGTCTTTCAATCACTAATGGAATTTCCATGTCAGTTAATGGTTTGAGGGAATTGTTTACTGTTGGAATGATCCACTGTAACAGAGCCAGTACTGAATGTAGACATTAGATTTCAGCTTGCCTCTTTTATAACCTTCACTTTATTACTGATGTCAGAAAATTTTCTTTGCTTCATTTAAAAAAAAAATTAAAGACGTATCTTTATTGCACTACTCTATTTGAAGTTAGGTAGATGTGAGATAATTATGTATCCTTACCTGTTGTACCAAGCCTGTCATCAGCTGAGCCAAAACCATCTGAAAAGTGTAAGATACATACAAATAACATGTCAATTTCTCTGTAGATAGCTCTTAATTTATGTACTAGACATTTCACATGAAAGCCATTTGTTGCCTAATCTAACTAAAATTATATGTAAGATCTGCTTGCATACTTGCTACACTTACCGGTACATCTCATAGAGGGTCATGTCAGAGGTCGAATTCGGAACAAATTCTAGACTTATTAGCTTCAACAAATGTACCGGTACTATGATTTTGCAAGCAATGATTTGATTAGTTGATATAATTTGACCTCTGATGTCACCCTCTATGGATTTTGTTAGATGTTAGTGTAGCGAGTATGTGAGCGGATCTAACATCTTATTTTAATTAGATTGTTTGTTGCCTTACCATTTCTATGATTCTTTTAAGCAAAAACCTTTTCCTAATTCTGATAGTTCTGGGGAAGTTCAGTTCATAGCACAGAGTAGGTGCACAAATAAAGTAGTACATATCTGAAAATGAAAAAAAATATGGAT